GCCTGCCGCCGAGGGGGGAGGGGGGGACGTGAACGTGCACTTCCCGGAAAAAGGGGGGGAGGGAGCGTGGGAAATTCGCCAATAATGCCCTCTTACTACTTGTCTCCTATCAGGAAGGATTCGTTCCTCCTCGCGAGGGCGTGAATCCGAGCGAGAATTTGCCTGTGGAAGCAAATAATCGTCCATAAAGAGATTATTCCGCAATCCTTTCAGGAGATGCGGAACATCGAAGCCAAAATAGATTTTTTGAGCTTCGAACAGATAGAAAGGTGCATCCTCTTGTAAGCTCCCGCCAGCTTGTTCAGAGGGTTTTGTGATTAAAGCGCGTATGGCGGTTGCATTAGTCTGGGCTTGATCGCACACCCAAAATCTTATCCGAAGCCCAACATCAAAGACGCGATGTATAGCCTTATCAATCATGCACTTAAGGATTTCACTGCGACCTGTATCATTGGAAATGAAATAGGCAATCGGTTGTTTCCAACTTGATCGTAGTCCTCGAATAACAAATACTAACGCATGGTTCCCGATTTTATTCGATCGACCGTATTCACCTAAATCCTCGAAACCCGTTACGCAATGCAGACGCGAGTCGTATTCTAGTAATTCGCGTATCGACATTTCATCCCAGATAAGAATACATTCTTTTTCGAAATTCTTCATTTGCTTAACTTTTTCCGTTAATTTCGCGAAAACTGCTGAGTTGAATCCAGGAGTAATTATAGTCTCGTTCATCCATTGCCGGACTAACGTAAGGCACGGTAAGTTCATAATTTTTTTTCTCCTGAACAATCGATAAACTCTCGGTCCCCTAGCATAAACCTGTAACGCGAGGTCTTGCTCATCTTGCACCCACGCGCGTCTTCGCGAATGTCGGAGTTGCATTTTAACGGCGCGAAGCTCCTCCCCGCTTAAATGCTGTGCTGCGCCTGCAATCACTTCGTCGACTGTTACTTTCTTCGGTTTCTTCGGTTTAGCTTTCTTGTGACGCGAAATTTTCCGCTGTAAAGCTTTAATTTGTTTACGTTGTTTGTAGTAAAGTACGCGTTGTTCGCGGTATTTCACGCGTTGTTTATCTAGTTCTACGGGTTGTTGTTCTATTTTTGCGCGTTGATTTTCGAGTTCTACGTTTTGTTTTTCGCGTTTCGCATATATTTCGTCTAATTCTCGCTTCAATTGTGCTGCATCCACGGAGCTAACAGTTTCAAACTGAGCATTGTGCTGCTCTTCGCGGAGGGCAGGAATCACATTTTAAGATTCATTGGAATAATTATTAGATAAAGCTGGGGTGGTATTTCCTACTGCGTTTCTTAANCCAACTTGATCGTAGTCCTCGAATAACAAATACTAACGCATGGTTCCCGATTTTATTCGATCGACCGTATTCACCTAAATCCTCGAAACCCGTTACGCAATGCAGACGCGAGTCGTATTCTAGTAATTCGCGTATCGACATTTCATCCCAGATAAGAATACATTCTTTTTCGAAATTCTTCATTTGCTTAACTTTTTCCGTTAATTTCGCGAAAACTGCTGAGTTGAATCCAGGAGTAATTATAGTCTCGTTCATCCATTGCCGGACTAACGTAAGGCACGGTAAGTTCATAATTTTTTTTCTCCTGAACAATCGATAAACTCTCGGTCCCCTAGCATAAACCTGTAACGCGAGGTCTTGCTCATCTTGCACCCACGCGCGTCTTCGCGAATGTCGGAGTTGCATTTTAACGGCGCGAAGCTCCTCCCCGCTTAAATGCTGTGCTGCGCCTGCAATCACTTCGTCGACTGTTACTTTCTTCGGTTTCTTCGGTTTAGCTTTCTTGTGACGCGAAATTTTCCGCTGTAAAGCTTTAATTTGTTTACGTTGTTTGTAGTAAAGTACGCGTTGTTCGCGGTATTTCACGCGTTGTTTATCTAGTTCTACGGGTTGTTGTTCTATTTTTGCGCGTTGATTTTCGAGTTCTACGTTTTGTTTTTCGCGTTTCGCATATATTTCGTCTAATTCTCGCTTCAATTGTGCTGCATCCACGGAGCTAACAGTTTCAAACTGAGCATTGTGCTGCTCTTCGCGGAGGGCAGGAATCACATTTTAAGATTCATTGGAATAATTATTAGATAAAGCTGGGGTGGTATTTCCTACTGCGTTTCTTAAATCGAAGGGTTTCGCGTCGACCTTAAGTCGCTTCTTTTTCGATGGTCCAACGAAAATATAATCAGACTCCTTAAAATGAGCGGAACAAATCCGACGTTCCCCTAGCTGTTTGGGGGTCAACTTGCGCAGCTCCTCATGGCCAATATTATCGAGCCACTGGTCTTCTGAACTGAAAAAAAATAACATACGTCTTGATGACAGGAAGTCAATCAGAATCACCAAGAGTATCTGCAGGGTATCTGCATTCAATAAATGCTAAAGTCCCTGATTCGTTATTTTCAGAGCCCGCGGTTCTTGTATTTTGAGTCATTTTGCCATTTGTTGCCTCGGAAAATAAATTCTTGAACTAAAAAGATCTCGGTTGTAATAACACGAGTGCTTTAAAATTGTCGAGTATTTCCCGACAGTTTCGTTACTTAGCAACATGTGCATGAAGTTTGGCAGTATGTAGTAAACAATGTGTTGTGTGTTGTGCATGTGTTGTAGTTTGGAAGTTTGGGCCAAACTGCATGCACATGTTGCTAATCAGGGAAATTTAAGGGAAATACTCGATTAATTTTCAAGTATGAGGGGTATTCGGCGGATTATTCCCCCCATTCAAATCTCGATCAATGGGATTTGACTTTTTTGTCGCAAAATGAAGCATTTTTCCTCTAAATCGTCTTATTTTTCTCAATCATTTTCACTAATGTCACTGCTTTTTGATGTTTCTTCAATTGTCTCGGGTCAAATTCTTACGGAAAACTTTTGTTTATTGCTTAGCAAGAGCCCTGGTATTACCAAAAAATTATTGACATCATAGGCACCACGTGATGTCAAATTCCATGCTCCTATTGGTCAAGATTTAAATGGTGCAGAATAATCAGTAGTATCACCAGACCTCCAAAATTATCGAATTTTTTCCGATTGTGTTGTTCCGTATCAACAAGGGAGAGAAGTTTTACAGAACTTATCCTGATCGTTCACACGCAGGAAAACATGAGGGAAATGTTCGATTAATTTTGGAGGTCGACTGGTATGTGAACCCTGACGAAGCCGTATTTGACACTATGATTTTTTGTTGAGTTGTTAAAAAATTAAATCGTCATTCAAAGGAGTGGAAAGCGATTAGGCGGTGGTCCGAGATATGTGGGAAAAGATTGAACATTAAAACAAATTTGCCGTCCCTAAAAACATGTAATCGAGGGGCTAATCACTCCCGAAATCATGGCGCGTCTGGTCCAAAATCATTCCGAAACCACCAAAATCCCTGAAATCAAGGGATTTCGGCTCTCCGAAATCACCTCCGAAATCATTCGAAACCGTCCGAAATCAACCGAAATCAGTGAATCCGAAATTAAAAATTATTCGCGGGGGATGGGGCCGAATGGTCTGCTTTTCATCGTCGATAGCTCAAGACTGGCTGAATGGAATCAAACTAATTGGTTATTCATTGCCAGTTATTGTTGTGAGTCTTGATTTCATTATTTGAAACGACCCGTTGTGCCCCACTCCTATGATCACCTTTATTCACTGATTTCGGGTCGATGAAATCATCCGAAATCATCCGAAACCATTCGAAATCATGAAATCACCTCATGTGACGCCCGAAAAAAATCGGAATCGCTGCCGAAATCATCCGAAATCGACATCATTTCAAAATCATGGTGTCACTCAATTATGGAATGAGTAGCGCCTCGCATTTAATTGTTTTGGCCTTCAGAATAGCCATATTTTAGGGGACGTTTTTCTTTTTCTGAATTGTTTAAATATTAGATCGTTGCTCATAGGAGTTCAAATCGATCCGGGGGTTGTCTAGAGTAAATGAGCAAACGAAATAAACGAAAAAAAAAAATTCTCCGATAGCTAAACGGGGTCTTTTGGGCGATGTGAAGTTTACTTCGTTCCTCTATGCAAAAATCCTTTTAGCTCCAAAATGAAAAATCAACTCGCAAACTGTTTTTGTTGAAAAAAATTTAACATGCTTCAAAAAAAATTCAGACCGCATGACTTCTTTAAAAAAAATTCAAAATTCAGCATCATTCGGTGGACAGTCTATTGCGGATTGAACGTGTGGGTGGATGGGGAGTAGGTTTCGTGTGTGGAAATTTGGGAAAGTATACTGGGAAAAATCAATTACGATGATGTAGCCGTAAGGCGAGTCGATATATTTTCAAACAAGTATTTACACGACTATTTGTCCACTAATTCACTGATAATGTTCACAAAGAATTGTTGATAATTATTCAATAGAACCGAAACTGATAACTGACCAATAAACGTGATTATAAACTCCGTGATAACAAACTGAAATGATATAATTCCAAAGATACAAAATGCCTGAAATTAACTTCCAGAACGATATAAAAACGTGTTGTCTGATACAATTCCGAACGATGAGTGAAGCGCGAGGGGTTTTTTGGGTATTTCGCCCTCTTCTGATCATGTGACCGAAGATGGCCGATGACCACCGACTGGTCTGGATGCCTTTTCAGGCCGAATTTCCAACATTCCGCCCGCCTTCGTCATCGGCTGATGGCGAATGATCCTCAACCTCTACTTCTGCGTCTGTGTCGATTGGCAGTGGAACCAACCTGTTGATGTGCCTGGTGAATGTTGATGGTGTTGGTCCACCTCTCGTGATGAAGTCTACCACCCGTGGTAGCCCGTCTGTGCTAGGATGGATTCGAGTGACTCGTCCCATTGGCCACTTCGTTGGAGGAAATCTCTCATCGACCATGAGCACGAGATCCCCCACCTTGATACCTTCCGTTTGATGTCTCCATTTTGATGTTGTCTGAAACCTGTGGATACATTCCCTGTACCACCTGTCCCAGAAATCCTGAATCCGTTGCGTGAAGATTTTCCACCTCTAATGACCGTCCAGTCTCTCGACCAGTAGTGAGGGCTCTGGAACAGCGTTGATTGCGTCTCCGATGATGAAATGTCCTGGTGTAAGTGCTCTGCAGTCCTCTGAATCATCTGATAGAGGACAGAGAGGTCTTGAATTTAATTGTGCCTCGATTTGAATTAATACCGTATTGAGTTCCTCAAAGGTGAGCGCCAGGTTGTTCGTGATGGGTATGAGGTGATGTTTGAGAGATTTCACTGCTGCCTCCCACTTTCCTCCATAGTGTGGTAAAGCAGGAAGGATGAATGTCCATTTCGTACCATCTGATGCTAAAACGTTGGCGATGTGATGAAGTTCCGCTGATGCTCGATTGAAGAGTCTGCCTAGTTCCTTTTCCGCTCCTACAAACGTCAGCGCATTGTCACAGCTGAGTGTGGCACAGATGCCTCTTCTCCCAGTAAACCTTTTGAAAGTCTCGATGAATGCCTCCTTGGTTAGATCTGTCACAGGTTCGAGGTGAATCGCCGATGTGACGAGACACACGAATACTGTGATATAGCCCTGATATTGTTTAGCACCTGAACCTCTCGACCTGAGAAGTTTGACAGGCCCAGCGAAGTCCACTCCAGTGTGTAGAAATGGTCTCGCAGGTGTGATTCTCCTTGGCGGCAGCTGTCCCATCAGCTGTTGCGCCCTGATTGCTCGATGCCTTGCACAGATGATGCACTTCAAGATGTGAGATTTGACTGGTTGTCTTCCTCCCACAATCCAGTACCTTTGCCTGATGTATGCCAGGTTAGCTGAACTCCTCCATGGAGAGTTTTCCGATGAGCTTCCTCAATGACCAGTGATGTGAGTCTTGATTGTCTTGGGATGATAGCGGGTGTCTTAGCATCTGGCTCCAGATGTGTGCGCCTGAGCTGCCCGCCAAGACGAAGCATCTGATCTTCGTCTAACCATGGTGTTAGCTTTGCCAGGGGATGATTGTGCCAGATTTCTCTTCTATTCTTGAGTCGATTGATGAGTGCCTCAAAATGTTCGTTTTGAGTGAGTTTGATCCAATAGATTCTGACATCATCTAGCTCTTCAGGTAGTAAAACTGGAGAATCTGGTACCTCTTGATGTCTCATGAGCTTGATCGCTCTCATGACTCTTGCTGATACTCTCAGAACCTTGTTAAGTGTAGAATACCTCTCCAACAAATCCTGAGNCCTTTGTGTACCCTATGTAACAGGTGATGTGCAGTCATCTCTTTTACGAGTGGTACCATTCAATGCTTCTGGTTATACATATGGAGCCACACACTTTGCTACTTTTTCAAATCCTCATTATATTCCGTGGATGAGATACTCATTTCGCACAATTGAAATAGATATAAGGTGCAATCGTGGTGAAATGATATCATTCGAGTACGGACCCTTGAACGTGACACTTTATTTCAAGAGAAGTGATTAACGAGCAAAATGAGGGTCAGTGGAGAGATACAATAATTTCGGATGGGTCTATGTTGGGAGCCCATATCAATGGGGCCATGGAATTGGGACTTTCCTCGGGGGCCTCTTTCGTCGAATTCTGCCCTTCCTCGGTAGTGCAGCTCGAGCAGTCGGTAAAGAAGCTCTCAACGCGGGAATTAACGTTGCAGGCGATGTAGTGACAAACGGAAAACCCTTAAAGGTGGCGCTGGAGGATCGGATAGCGGAGTCGGGATTAAAATTAAAAAGGAAGGCACAGGAAAAAATAGGGTCCATGATGCGTGGATCAGGATATAAAAAAAAGCGTAAACGCCTCGCATCTCATAAGCTCACTGGACGCGGGTCTGCCAAGACATCCAAAACGAGGAAGAATAAAAAGAAGAGAAATATTCCAAAAAATAAGAAAAAAGGAAAAAAAGGGAAAAAAAATAAATCCAAGAGGAAGACTCGCGATTTATACGATATTTTCAACTAATCATCATGTCGTTTCTACATTCACACTCTTCCGAGTGCGTGAAATCGGAGCTCGATCTGTTCACTATACCCCCAACGCAGACGAGTATTTAAAATTCTCAATTTGTTTATTATAATCCTGTGTCTACTNCCTTGTAGGTGAAGACATCTGAGATTGGATTCCAGCACAGTCCCAACACCTTGACCGTGCTATTCTCAAATTCCACTGTTCTGGGGGGTGATGATGTCAAATGAAGTTCCTGGAGAATTTCCTGACAGTTTGAATCCCATTTTTGCAGGGGGAGGCCGCCCGCCGTGCACAGTCCGATCAGTTGATTGACGAGTTCCTTTAGTTGATCCTCTGATTCTGCTCCTCCGTAGATATCGTCGACATATCTCCCTTTTGTCAAGGAGACCGCCGCCATTGGAAACCGATGACCTTCATCTTCCACCAATTGTTAAAGAACTCGTAGGGCCAACCATGGAGCACAGGTTTGACCGTACGTGACCGTTGTAAGTTGATAGGTGATGAGATTGTTGTCCTCATTCTTCCACAAGATTCTCTGAAGAACCCAATCCTTTTCATTCACGTTGATTTGACGAAACATCTCGACGATATCTGTTCCGACTACCCAACGATGTGTTCTCAACCATATGAGAACGTCTGATCCTTCTACCTGAAGCTTTCCACCAGAATGAAGGATTTCATTCAGTGGAACTCCTGATGATGTCTTGCTCGACCCGTTGAAGAATACCCTGAGCTTGGTCGTGATGCTATCTTCCCTCAGAACACAGTGATGAGGGAGATAGAAGACCGGTGATGGTTCTGATGCTTTTGAGACTCTTTTCATGTGACCAAGAGCCTCGTACTCGTTGATGAAATCCTTGTAGAGTTTCCCATACGATGGATTTGATGATAATTTGGTAGATGTTCGATTCAACAGCTGGAGAGCGTGTTTTCTTGACTCACCCAGTGCTGATGGTGATGTTTTGAGTGGAAGACGTACAACGTAGCGTCCTGAGCTCTCTCTTGTGTGTGTGCGTTGGAAATGTTCCTCACATTCCAACTCTTCAGGGCCTAATTCCATGTTCTCGTGTGATGGAGGTTCCTCTTGAACCCAAAACCGTTTGAGTAGGTCTAGAAGCTGCTCACTCGACGACTCTCGTACTGCAGTTAAAGATGTCTTCGGTTTACAACTTGTACAGCAGACCGTCCCTAATATTATCCACCCAAATATGGTCTGTTGTGCAACAGTCTGATTATCAGATGATTTGGAGATGTTGTTACCAATGATCTGACCGTAATGATCTGCACCGATGATGATATCAATTGACCCAGGTTTGAGAAAATTGTTATCTGCCAGTTGAAGCCCTTGAAGATGATCTAATTCCGCCTTAGTACAATGGATTGATGGTAGAGTTGATGTAAGCTTCGTCAGGACGTGAGCAGTGACCTCGACTTGGTTTTGATAATTAAATCGAGAGTGAAGATTGACCTTGACTGCTCCACGTGTTGACCCTGACTCTAGCCCGCCGATTCCGAAGACCTTGATGTTTGTCGACTTGCGTCGAAGTTGAAGGATGTTGACCAGTTTTTCCCTGATGAAGGTGACCTCTGATCCTTAATCGATCAAAAGTCTGACGTGATGATAGGTTCCGAATGATGATGCTGCAAGTGCCTTGGCTGTTGCCAATAGCACTACCCGTTGTTCTGATGTTGATGTTTGATGAATGACCTTGGAGTCAGCTGATTGCTCAACTGGTCCAGTTGATGATGATGGTGATGCCAATTCCCTTGGATTTGTTAATGATGATCCTGATGATGATTGACCTGGGGGAGAGAAACACAGGATGAGGGCCGTATCATTTGCCAAAGATAATAATTAAGAAAATGATACTTAACCTCTCCATCCTGAGTTCTCCGATGTCCCCAGTTGTACTCCAGAACTTCCTGGTGACGGCTGACTCAGCTGAGTCTGTTGTTGAAGTTCCCTGCGATATTCTGGTGACCCCTCATGGATCAGTATGTGATGATTCCCATTGCAATCCTTAACTTTGCATCTTTATTTGCTGGTGCATGTTGGAGCTCGATGAGGTCCAAGACAGTTGTAGCAAAGGTTCTTTGCTGTGATGATTTCTCTGCATTCAGCTGGAGTCTTCGCCCTGAAGCTCTCACAGTTGAACCCCAGCCAGTGATTACCTCCACAGAGTCGACACTCCTTTACTCCTGATTTTGATACCTCAGCTGGAGCCTTTGCTTGGCCTCCAGCCCCAGAAACATGATGAACTTTGACTTGCTGATGTTTTCCTTTGAATTTTGATGAAGAATCCTTAGAAGTTTGAGCTGGTTTGTCGTGTGCCACATTCTCCAGTGCACGAGCCCTTGCCTCGATGAAGTCGAGAAGTTCTCTGAGTGTTGGAGGATCCCTTGATCCACCGAGATGAACTTCCCAAGCTTTCTTGGTATCCAATTCGGTACAGCGCCTCGCTACCCTTCCAACGATTAAGTCCCAATGATCAACTGGAGCGTCAAGAGCCCTCAGCGCGTCCAGTGCTTGCGTGATGATGTTGCTGAGATTGCTCAACCCCTTGGCTGGGTCGTCAACCACAGGTTTCAATTCCAAGATTTTGTCGATGTGAGCTGCTATAATCAACCTCCTGTCGTCATAATGCTTTACCAATTTGTTCCAAGCAATCTCGAAATTGTCGTCAGTAACTGTGAGATTGGAGATCATGTTGAGTGGCTCTCCTTTGAGTGATCCCTTGAGTCGAACCATTTTTTCCACACTTGGAATGCCTTTTACCAGTCTCACCATAGAGTTAAATAGATCCTCATATGGTTTCCAAGCCTCATACATGGGGACGTGGGGCTTTTGAATCAGAGCGAGAGGTGGTAGATGGAACTTGGTCTCTCCGCTGCTTTTCTTCATCCCCACCACCGTGTAGAACGTCATGATTCCCTTCCGGATTATCCCCATCAGTCGATGCCATGATTCTTGTAGCTTACCGGATTGATTGACCACCGTTGATCCCGTGAATTTTTGAGAACCCCTGTCTCTCGCTTGAGCCCGAGTTTAAGAGACTCGAAACGATGTTTGATTGTCCGCAACACCGATGTAAACAAACCCAGTGATACTCTCCCGGCACTGATCGTCTGTCCAAAATGTAAACACTTGATAATTTCGCCTTTGTTGAGTGTCCTTGACGTCAGGCAAGCGGTTTTGGGCGTTGCCCACACGATCGATAATTTTATGAAGACGATTTTTTCCACTAGTAAACACACGAATCACTAATTTCAACTCCTCCAATCCGGCTCGAAGGACCATTTGTTGCGGATTGAACGTGTGGGTGGATGGGGAGTAGGTTTCGTGTGTGGAAATTTGGGAAAGTATACTGGGAGAAATCAATTACGATGATGTAGCCGTAAGGCGAGTCGATATATTTTCAAACAAGTATTTACACGACTATTTGTCCACTAATTCACTGATAATGTTCACAAAGAATTGTTGATAATTGTCCAATAGAACCGAAACTGATAACTGACCAATAAACGTGATTATAAACTCCGTGATAACAAACTGAAATGATATAATTCCAAAGATACAAAATGCCTGAAATTAACTTCCAGAACGATATAAAAACGTGTTGTCTGATACAATTCCGAACGATGAGTGAAGCGCGAGGGGTTTTTTGGGTATTTCCTCCTCTTCTGATCATGTGACCGAAGATGGCCGATGACCACCGACTGGTCTGGATGCATTTTCAGGCCGAATTTCCAACACAGTCCCTTCTCAAATTTTTAATTTCCAAATTTGGAGGATGGGAGGCCGGTTTCACCGTCATATTATCGTTACATCATTATCCAATGCATAATTTCACCTGATTCTGACAAGAAAAAATTGATTCAAGAATTAGCCCGCATTTGTTGCAATTTGTGCATAATGTGAAAAATACACTCCTCTCCTCTTCGAATCGTAGTAGAGATGGGTTGCGCTCTGGATTTTCAAATTATTTATTCAGATAGGATTTTTCAGTGAAAACATCGCTTTTCGGTGCATTAGTGCATTCACTAGATGATTTTCCCATTGAGTATCAAGGAGATTCGTAGCATCAGAAATATGCAAAGGAGTATTGAATCAAATTTTAGGGCGTTATGTTTGAAGAATTGGAATAATGACATTAATCTAAAATCCATGTAGAACGTTTATGATTACTGCTGGAATACCTAGTAATTTTTCTAATGTTTTTCTGAATGCTGATCTCATTTTTTAAATCGGTTTAAAATAAAAATTTTCTTTTAAAACGTGGAATGTCAGTTGAAAAAAATCTTCGACCTTTACAATGTTGAGAAGAGCATATGAAAACCTTTCAAAGAATTAAAATATTGAAAGGATTTCACGACTTTTCTTCCCTGACATTTTTTCTAGGGGTGTGCGAATAGTGTTCAAATGAAATTCAATCGAATCGAATAATGACATTTCATTTGAAATTCGAATCAAATAATTAGAATTCAAGTCGCTCCGAATTATCCCAAATTTCGAATATTCGTACACCCTTAATTTCCCAAGCCCCCTCCCCCCCGCCAACATTTCCTCGTACTATTTTTTCTTCGCCCTTTTTTTCACCGACAGTTTTTCCTTGAAAACGCATGATGACACAAATGTTTTTCCCTTCCATTAATATTAACATAAACATTAACGTCATAGCATGCGTTTTTGAGAAAAAAATGTCAGATAGGGGTGTGCGAATATTCGAAGTTTCGAATAATTCGGAGCGAATTGACTATCAATTATTCGATTCGAAAAACGAATTAATTAATTCTACATTTCGAATTATATAATTTACGGTTGAGGGGGTGCCTAGGATCCATTTACATTTGAAAAATTCGTGTGGGCTATGAACTCTTGCGGGTGAAGATTTTTTTTTGTCAAATAAAACTCAAAATTTGGGCTTCTCACCCCCAAACACCTACATTTCGAACATTTCCCCACTTTCAATTTCGCTGAAACTTTTTTGGGGAGGTTGAGGAGGTGGCTAGAATCCATTTTTAGTTGGAACATTCATGTAAGATGTGATCTCGTGACTTTGAGCATTTTATTTGTCAAATAAAACTCAAAATTTGAACTTCTTACCCCCAAACACACACATTTCGAATATTTGATTTATTTCAATTTCGCTGAAACTTTTTTTAGGGGTTGAGGGGATGCCAAGGATCCACTTGCAGTTGATAAATTTATGTGGGTGATAATACCCAGGGTGTGAGAATTTTTTTTGTAAAATACTAATCAAAAGTAGGACTTCTCACTCACAAACTTCCAGAATTCATTGTCCATTCTAAAAATATCATTTTGAATAATTCTAAAAATGGAATTATTCGATTACATTCGTTTGTACACTATTCGCACACCCCTAATGTCAGGGAAAAAGGAAAAATGTCAGAGATTTTTTTTTGAGGGGGGGGGGAATATCGGGGATATTTTGTTAATGAAATTATGTGGGGAAACAAAAGACGGACCACCGTTGAAGATAGAAACCTTACTTTATCAATAACTGAAAAACGATCATTTTCACAAACAAAATATTGGCAAACGCTCCTCTCCATCTTCTATGACATATTTATTTTCTAAAATTATTCGATATCCTTTTTTGTATCCGGATAATTATTTAGTGTTTTCGCAAAAACGCTTATCTATGTACACGAAGCAAAATCCACAATTGTCGGGAATATATTGAATTTCCATCAAAAAGAAAAAAAAATCCGACAGTTGAAAAAAATTATTGACGTGCATTGCCGGAATTGATCGTCTGACAGGCATTTTTATAAATTTTTGGCACCACGTTGTTTAAAAGAAGTTCAAGTAAATTACCTCACGCGATGATACATCACATCCTTGTTCTGCGAATTGTTTCCACACCCACGGTGAACGCAGTAATTATTCGTCGGCATCGTTAATTCACTCACGCACTAATTAACACAACACGCCCGTTCACCGCGACAAATTCGTTGATAATCACACAATAAACTTGAAAAAACCAATCGGTCGTTAGAGCTCATGTGTCTCTCACCAAAGCCAAACGACAACTAAGAATCTACGATCGTTATTTTTCGATTCTTTAGATTGAAATCGTCCGTTGGCTGTTTACATTCTGGACGGCTCGTGAATTCGCCGAAAACATCGGTCTTCAAAACAAAACACGCGTTCCAGTAAAAATGATAGAGAAATAGAATTTCGATACAGAGCGAAAATATAGCGGTTTATGGAGGAGGGAAATTCCTTTTTTTCTTCATTAATTCAACAAATTTTTCAAAGTCTTAAATGCAATCAAGTTAATCCCCCATTTTCCGGAGACGATGATTTTCATTCTAAATGAATGGCAAATGCTCAATTGAATTATAGTATTATGCAGTAATGATAAGACAGTACTAGGAGTAATCATTTCTTTTCCGATTACAAAAATCATAAATAATGAATTTTTGAATTTTAAAAAAAAAGATCGGGGAATCGAACCCACGTACTTCGGTGTGACAGTCTGAGCAGCCTACTCTGTGCTGTACTCTTGCTGACATGCAATGTACTTTCCATGAAATACCTCCCGAAATTTGGCCTACAAGTTGCAGATATTTTTTTTTCTTTTGTGCACTACTTATAGCAATAAAAATTTCGCCAAGGAGAAGTTCTGCATTCTGATTAGAGGGGCTACGCAAGCTTAAACCCTTTACCTCGTATGGTTTGATCAAGTTAAACGTGTGCAGATATGCTTTGAAGATAAAATATAAACATTGTTTTCAATTAGATTTCCAGAATTTTCCCAAAAAGATGGTCATATCTTTCTCCCACCACTCCTTTATGGTCAAAATCGGAAAATAATTTTTTAGACGTGAATTTTGGCTATTTCGCCTTTGATTTAATGAATAAGAATTTGTATTTTTGGAAAAATTCCAACAATTTTGGGTCGGAATCATATTTGAAAATCGTTTGCTCTTATGATGCTCAACCGAAGCAAAATAGGAAATGTAAAATGAATAAAAGAAAACTATGTTTTGATTTTTTTAGATATGCTATCTACGCATGTTTAATGTCAACGAACAATGTTGAGGTAGGTAACGTAGTTGAAGTTTACGAAACCTCTGTAATTGAAAGGCGTTTCTGCTACGAGGAAACTATTTTTCTGTACATTAGCCGTGGAATAAAGTCAAGAAAACATCAAAAATTTTGAGGCCGGATTTGTGTAAGATATTTTGTAGAATCAGCCATATTTAAATTCATGGGGACCAAACAGTCCAGGAATTTTCTTTCATTCAAAAAGAATTGCCGAGAAGAATCGGAGAAAATTTTTTGATTCTCCATATTTTGTACTGAAATCTGTGCAATATATATATATCGATTAGACTCATTAAAATACAGTCCCTATTAACCACTACTGTTGGTTCAAGCTGAATGTCCTGATAACAACCACGAATCTCCATATATGACAGAACTTCCTCTTCCCCCCTTGAGTCCGTGACAGAGTAGTTAATCCCCTCCAACGGTTTTTAATTGAAAAACCTAATCGTTCTTACTTCACAAACTCAAAGGTTCTGGATTTGGAGACATCTCTGACTGGAAATCAATTCGTTTTTGGTAATCAATTGTAGGGATATTTTTACTAACATTGAACAGCCAGTTAAAGACCAGTATCTTGTCTCTGCGGAAACTAAATACAGTGATCTCTCCCCTGCACCCCTAATTTTCTATTTCATGTAGAAGCTATCCCAATATGCGATACCGAAATTCCAAGGGATGAAATAGGATGAAAGTCTGAGTCTATCGTTCCTGTTCTACTTCTGGCTCCGGGGATTGTTCATGAGTTATTGGTCAATAATGTTAACCAATAGCACCGTTACAGTTACCGGAGCGTATACCACGTAGGGACTAGTTTACCACTTTTTTGAGAACTTCAGTACCGTAAATTTGTAATAATCTCAAAGTGCACTGTTTGAAAAATACTGAAATTCCATGGACAAGTGACTACTAATTTTCAGGACAGTGACACTGAATGCGATTTAGGAGAAAAAAAACATTCAATTCAAGTTTTCACCAAGAATTCAGTGAAATTGCAGAATTTTAAGCAGAATAACGACGAAAATTCCTCAGTTAATTCGAATTTCCAGTGAAATATGAATATTCAGTGCCAAATCAGACAGAATTTTCAGTGAAAACTGAAATTTCATGATTTTTCCCTCCTCAATCGCATTGAGTGTCACTGATTGAAGTGTATATTTACAGGAAATTTATGGTTTTCCATCAATTTTCAGGGAAACATGAAACTGAATTTACAGTTATTACCGATTTTCCAGGAAATTCGTAATTTCCAATGGGAAATTCCTTGGAATTTCAGTGGAAATTACATGGGGAGAAATTCTCTAGAAAAATTCTAGGGTTAGTACTGGAAAAATTACAATCCGTCGGCTATGAAAAATTGTAGTGTTTTCACANACTATGTTTTGATTTTTTTAGATATGCTATCTACGCATGTTTAATGTCAACGAACAATGTTGAGGTAGGTAACGTAGTTGAAGTTTACGAAACCTCTGTAATTGAAAGGCGTTTCTGCTACGAGGAAACTATTTTTCTGTACATTAGCCGTGGAATAAAGTCAAGAAAACATCAAAAATTTTGAGGCCGGATTTGTGTAAGATATTTTGTAGAATCAGCCATATTTAAATTCATGGGGACCAAACAGTCCAGGAATTTTCTTTCATTCAAAAAGAATTGCCGAGAAGAATCGGAGAAAATTTTTTGATTCTCCATATTTTGTACTGAAATCTGTGCAATATATATATATATCGATTAGACTCATTAAAATACAGTCCCTATTAACCACTACTGTTGGTTCAAGCTGAATGTCCTGATAACAACCACGAATCTCCATATATGACAGAACTTCCTCTTCCCCCCTTGAGTCCGTGACAGAGTAGTTAATCCCCTCCAACGGTTTTTAATTGAAAAACCTAATCGTTCTTACTTCACAAACTCAAAGGTTCTGGATTTGGAGACATCTCTGACTGGAAATCAATTCGTTTTTGGTAATCAATTGTAGGGATATTTTTACTAACATTGAACAGCCAGTTAAAGACCAGTATCTTGTCTCTGCGGAAACTAAATACAGTGATCTCTCCCCTGCACCCCTAATTTTCTATTTCATGTAGAAGCTATCCCAATATGCGATACCGAAATTCCAAGGGATGAAATAGGATGAAAGTCTGAGTCTATCGTTCCTGTTCTACTTCTGGCTCCGGGGATTGTTCATGAGTTATTGGTCAATAATGTTAACCAATAGCACCGTTACAGTTACCGGAGCGTATACCACGTAGGGACTAGTTTACCACTTTTTTGAGAACTTCAGTACCGTAAATTTGTAATAATCTCAAAGTGCACTGTTTGAAAAATACTGAAATTCCATGGACAAGTGACTACTAATTTTCAGGACAGTGACACTGAATGCGATTTAGGAGAAAAAAAACATTCAATTCAAGTTTTCACCAAGAATTCAGTGAAATTGCAGAATTTTAAGCAGAATAACGACGAAAATTCCTCAGTTAATTCGAATTTCCAGTGAAATATGAATATTCAGTGCCAAATCAGACAGAATTTTCAGTGAAAACTGAAATTTCATGATTTTTCCCTCCTCAATCGCATTGAGTGTCACTGATTGAAGTGTATATTTACAGGAAATTTATGGTTTTCCATCAATTTTCAGGGAAACATGAAACTGAATTTACAGTTATTACCGATTTTCCAGGAAATTCGTAATTTCCAATGGGAAATTCCTTGGAATTTCAGTGGAAATTACATGGGGAGAAATTCTCTAGAAAAATTCTAGGGTTAGTACTGGAAAAATTACAATCCGTCGGCTATGAAAAATTGTAGTGTTTTCACAACTTTATTGCCGTGCTGGCACTGGAATTTTTCCAGTAGTAATACCACTAGTGCTTCAAAATTATCGAATATTGTCCGATAGCTTTGTTGCCTAGGAACGATTATGTCACATTTTGCAGGCTAAAACCCCAAGTGCGAAACAAGTGCCAACTCATCNTTGGAGACATCTCTGACTGGAAATCAATTCGTTTTTGGTAATCAATTGTAGGGATATTTTTACTAACATTGAACAGCCAGTTAAAGACCAGTATCTTGTCTCTGCGGAAACTAAATACAGTGATCTCTCCCCTGCACCCCTAATTTTCTATTTCATGTAGAAGCTATCCCAATATGCGATACCGAAATTCCAAAGGATGAAATAGGATGAAAGTCTGAGTCTATCGTTCCTGTTCTACTTCTGGCTCCGGGGATTGTTCATGAGTTATTGGTCAATAATGTTAACCAATAGCACCGTTACAGTTACCGGAGCGTATACCACGTAGGGACTAGTTTACCACTTTTTTGAGAACTTCAGTACCGTAAATTTGTAATAATCTCAAAGTGCACTGTTTGAAAAATACTGAAATTCCATGGACAAGTGACTACTAATTTTCAGGACAGTGACACTGAATGCGATTTAGGAGAAAAAAAACATTCAATTCAAGTTTTCACCAAGAATTCAGTGAAATTGCAGAATTTTAAGCAGAATAACGACGAAAATTCCTCAGTTAATTCGAATTTCCAGTGAAATATGAATATTCAGTGCCAAATCAGACAGAATTTTCAGTGAAAACTGAAATTTCATGATTTTTCCCTCCTCAATCGCATTGAGTGTCACTGATTGAAGTGTATATTTACAGGAAATTTATGGTTTTCCATCAATTTTCAGGGAAACATGAAACTGAATTTACAGTTATTACCGATTTTCCAGGAAATTCGTAATTTCCAATGGGAAATTCCTTGGAATTTCAGTGGAAATTACATGGGGAGAAATTCTCTAGAAAAATTCTAGGGTTAGTACTGGAAAAATTACAATCCGTCGGCTATGAAAAATTGTAGTGTTTTCACAACTTTATTGCCGTGCTGGCACTGGAATTTTTCCAGTAGTAATACCACTAGTGCTTC